ATAAACGAGCAAACTCTATTCTGATGTCCCTTGCTAATATGGATCATAGATTACTCCCTTGGGGAGGGCTTAGGGACATCCGAGGTCAACTAGCAATGACTCACTTGATTGCTTGTTAGCCACTTATGCTATTACCCAGTGACTATGTAATAAGTTCGCTGTATGATGCATGCCTTTGGAAAGATCTGTAATTCCCATATACACACCCATTGGAAAATGCTTTCGCCTCTTGATCCTGGCATAGGGACAAGGAGCCCCTGTGTCCTGCTTTTTCTAGCTGTCTTCATTATTTTCTACAATCACAAAGTTGCTCCTGAGGACCCATTCCAGTGTGGGGACCCATACACTCACACTCCAACTTGCTTATCTTTGTTATATTCAAGAACTAGAGGAAAATTGTATATTTCATCATTGCTACACTGCACCCCGACTGGCTCGTCTACTCCCCGCAGCCCTTCTACAAGGGGATGATGTCCAATTTCCCACAGATGGGCCCTGGGTCCCCTCTCTGCACTCCCCTTCATTCACCATGCTATGATTTTTTTGGTCTTTGATGCCTGATACCTGATCCCTTCGACACCTCGTGGTCTCACAGGCTGGTGTGCTTCTTCTGTGTGGGCTTTGTATCTAATATATCCATTCACGTACAGCTTCGTTGTTCAATCCCATCAAGTGGAATTATACAATCATCCATGCTATCAAACCCCCACCCCCATCCTTTTGTTTCTTGATTGCTGCTTCACTGGGCATTAATTGTGGAGCTACGTAAAATTAAACCCTTGACAGTTTCAAGCTTTTCTCCATTTATTGTGATGTTGTTTATTGGGCCAGTTGGGAGGATTTTTGTTTTCATTATGTGATAATCCGTAATAAACACTTTAGCTTTGATCTTCATCGGTACATGCTTGAAGTGCTCTTTGATTTCAATACGCAAGGTTGTGTCACCTGCATATCTCAGGGTGTTAATGAGTCTTCTTCCAGTTTTGATATTGCATTCTTCATATAGTCGAGTTTCTTGGATCATTTGCTCAGCACACAGAGTAAGTATGATGAACAGAGGCTTTCCCTGATTGTAAACCATTTAGTTTCCCCTCAGTCTGTTGAAACAACGACCTCCTTGTTTATGCATAGGTTCTGCATGTGCACAGTTATGTGTTACAGAATTCTCATTCTTTGCAATATTATCCATAGTTTGTTATGATCCACACAGTCGAATGCCTTTACATGGTAATAAAGTACAGGTAGATATACCTATGCTGGTACGCTTTGCTTTCAGCCAAGATCCAGCTGGTGTCAGCAGTGACATCCCTTATCACATGTCATCTTCTGAAACCAACTTGAACTTCTCACACCTCCTTATTGATGTCCTGTTGGAGCCATGTTTTTAAAAATCTTCCGCAAGGTACTTGCATGTCGGATTCATGATAGCCTAGTGAACCACCTTTCTCATCATGGGCATAGATTTGAGTCTCTGTCAGTTAACCAGGTGCCTACTGTGTCTCTCAGCATGACTAGTGGTGCTTCCAACAGTCCTTCTGTTTGTTGAACCATTTTGATTGGTGTTCTGTCTTTCCTAGAGCCCTGTTTTCACCAGTGCCTTCAGTGCAGCATGGACTTCTATTGATAACATCAGTTCGTCATATTCTACCTCTTGAAATGGGTGAAAGTTGACCAATTCTTTTTGGTACAGTGACTGTAGTTATTCTTTCCATCTCCCTTTGATGCTTCAATATTGCAGTCTTTCAATATTGTAAATCAAGGCTTGAATTTTTTTCTTCAGTTCTTCCAACTTGAGAAATGCTGAGCATATTATACATTCTCTTAGGTTTTCCAACTCCAGGGTTTCACATATTTCATTATAATACTTTATTTTACTTGGTCTACTTGAGCTTCCCTTTGAAATTTTATGTTCGGAATTTTTGCTTCATTTCTTCAAGTCATTTCAGCTTTTGTACATTCTAGAGTATGTGTTAGAGTCTCTTCTAGCGTCTGTTCTAGGCCTTCTCGTTCTTTCCTGTCTTTTTAATAGTCTGCTTTCTTCATATATGCTGTTCTTGATGTCATGCCAGAACTCGTCTGAGCTCCAGCCATTGTGGAGATCAACGTGCGAGATCTGTTCTTGTGATGTCTCTAAATGCAGATGGAATATACTCAAAGTAGTAGGGATCATAGCACCTAATTTATGAGATTAAATAAATTAACATGTAAGCATAATCATTGCAATCCTCACCAGTATTACTGTATATTGTAGTAATCCTCTTCAAAGGAAAGGATAGCCTAAACCATGACAGTAGCAGTGATAAAAATTACAGTGCCAGATTCAGTAGCTACCAGACTCACTGCCATCGAGCTCCTTCTGATTCACAACTATGCTAGAAGATACATTTCCGCTGCCCCTGTGGGCTTCCGTATGTGCAGGTCTTTATGGGAGCAGAGTCTCATCTTTCTCCCGCGGAGCAGCTAATGGGGTTCAAACTGCTAACTTGTGCTTAGCAGCTCAACATGTAATGTACTACACCACCAGGGCTCCTTGCAGAGGTGAATTGGTGGCTGATTGTATATTAGGAGGGGGGATAAAATTGACAGTAAGAAGTTGAGGCTGCCACGCACATTTTGAACTTGATCCACTAGTGAGTGGTGGTTCCAGTCTCTGAAACAGGGTTGACGGTGCACTAAGCAGATTTGAGGTGTGGGGTGAATGTTAAGCTCATCTTTGGCTGTGTAAATTTAGATGCTAGAAGAAATATAAGTAGAAGTGTTTGGGAAGCAATTGATTAGAAGGTTTAGAGATTAGAATTGTGATGTGGGCTGGAAAATTCCCATGTCAGAATTAACAGCGTTGGGAGTTTGTAGCCAGTAACTCAATTGAAAAGAGCAGGAGATGATCTAGGCTGAAGGTGGGCTAGCAAGAAGGCCTCTAGCAGAAACCTAAGGAACACCAGCAATCGAAGATCGGACCAAAAAACCCGGATTAAGTCAATAAAAAAGATAAAATCAACTTTCAGAGGAAGATAAGCGCGAAGTTTGAATCCATTAAAAATTGTCTTGTTATGTGTATACGTGTCTCTTAATGTGTACATCACATCTCTGGAAGGATTCACAAGAATTTGGCGGCTCTGGTTGTCTCCAAAAAAAGAAATTAATATCTGGATTAACTGGCTTTTCTGTAGAGATTTCTTCTCTAAATACGGCAACTTTTTTTTAAGTTTACATAACCTACGTGTCAGCATCACACCAGGAGCCATACTTCTATGTTTTAGTTAGTTAGTTAGTTAGTTAGTTAGTTAGTTTGTTTGTTTTTTAATGAGGTTTTTAGCTATGCTTTTTAAGTTAGCTCTAACACTGTAGGGAAAAAAATTGGTCATATGGTACTAATTCTATTATTAATCTGTTAAGAACCAGAGAATCTTCATATGCAGTGAAGTGGCAGACCAGTTTTCCTACATTGCAGGTGCTTTAATTTACCTGTCTCTGCTAATGAATAACATCTAATGGTGCTGCTGCCCTATGGCTGTATTACTGAGGGAAAGTTATAATTATCATACAAAGGAGGACTGGGGGAACCACACACTGTACAACATGACCCTTTCTTAAGTGTCTGTTTTAATCAGAGAAGTAGAACCTCATTGTTCTAACCCTTAACAATGTGCTTTAGTAGGAAGGCATGATTACAGGGGAATACAAAGGGGAAATAAAATTGTGTCCTTTAAGAACTAGTAGGCAAAGGGTATTTATAGAGGTCTAAATACGTCCATGTACATATGCAAATATATATGACAGTGGGAAATAGATCTATGTACATACTGTTAAAGGTTTAGTAATAAGGTAGCAGATGGACTTTGGGCCTGTATTCAATTACTCCCTCAACGCAAGAACATTTTGTCCTATTAAGCTGGCATTCCATGATGCTCACCTTCCCAACACGATTGCTGAAGACAAAGCGGGTGCATAAGCAAATGTAGTGAAGAAAGCTCATGGTGCCCGCCTATCAAAAGATATAGCGTCTGGGGTTTTAAAGGCTTGAAGGTAAACAAGTGGCCATCTAGCTCGGAAGCACCAAAGCCCACATGGAAGAAGCACAAATTGTTGAAAAGATCAGGTATCAGGCATCAAAGAACAAAAAATAGTATCATTGTGAATGAGGGGGTGTGTGAAGTGGAGACCCAAAGCCCATCTGTAGGCAACTGGAAACCCCCTTACAGAAGGGTCCCAGGGAGGAGATGAGCCAGACAGGGTACAGTATAGCACCAATAAAACATCCAACTTTCCTCTAGTTATTTAATGCTTCCTCTCCCCCACTATCATGATCCCAATTCTACCTTACAAATCCAGCTAGACCAGAGCTTGTACACTGGTACAGATAAGAGCTGAAAACACAGGGAATCTAGGACAGATAAACTCCTCAGGACCAATAATGAGAGTATAGCAGTACCAGGAGGGTAAGGGGAAGGTGGGGAAACCCATCATAATGATCTACATATAACCTCCACCCCAGGGGATGAGCAACAGAAAAGTGGGTAAAGGGAGACCGGTCAGTGTAAGACATGAAAAAAATAATAATTTTTAAATTATCAAGGGTTCATGAGGAAGGGAGGGTGGGGGAGGGAGGGGGGAAATGAGGAGCTGATACCAAGGGCTCAAGTAGAAAGAAAATATTTTGAAAATGATGATGGCAACAAATGTACAAATGTGCTTGAAACAATGAATGGATGCATGGATTGTAATAAGAGTTGTGCGAGCCCCCAATAAAATGATTTTTTTAATGTGTCCTTTATTTTAGAATGGCGATTTGACGAAAATAGCCTATTTCTCGGTATTAGTAATAGGAAGTCCTGATTGTGGTCTGGTTATATTTTATATTTTAAGCCAGTTTATTATTTATTACCTCAGTCTCTCTCTCTCTCTTGCAAAAAAGTTCATTGGTATCATAAAGTGCGGTGTGGTGATTTGCTTTCATGTACTCATTGTGTACCCCCCCCCCTCCCTTTCATATAGGAAGACAGAGATGTCAATAACCCCATGCCCAACCGAGGAGGCAACGGATTAGCTCCCGGGGATGACAGATTCAAACCTGTGGTACCATGGCCTCACGTGGAAGGAGTAGAAGTGGATTTAGAATCCATTCGAAGAAAAAACAAGGCTAAAAATGCACAAGAACACCATGCTGGCGGAGATTCCCAAAAGGACATAATGCAGAGGCAGTATCTCACGTTTAAGCCTCAGACCTTCACCTACCATGACCCTGTGCTGCGCCCAGGGATCCTCGGTAACTTTGAACCCAAAGAGCCAGAGCCTCATGGAGCGGTTGGTGGCCCTGGAGAGAATGCCAAGCCGTTGGTTTTGGGACCAGAATTCAAGCCTGCTGTTCAAGCCAGCATTAAAGAGTTTGGATTTAACATGGTGGCAAGTGACATGATCTCGCTGGACCGCAGCATCAATGAATTACGTCAAGAAGAGTAAGCAAACATTCTCTTCTTTCTAAAATTGGGGTGCCTATTGTTTGGGTAGCTGTGCGTATTTAGCTACACATTGTTAGAGGGGAGAACGTGTTTATGGTGAAAGGAAGGGCTTGCTTTCTTTCTTGTCAAGCCTGAAAAACCCAAAGGGGCAGCTCTGCTCTGTTCTGTTGTGTTCCTGTCGGCTCCCTGTGAGTCAGAATGTACTCCATGGCAGTGGGTTTGGTTTTTCTGGGTTCTGGTCAACAAACTAGTTCTAAGGAGAAGGTCCCTCCTTGTGTGCCATCATAGTGTAGGTCTTCTACAACAGTGCTACAGAAAATGTGATTCGCGGACTAGACCCAGCTGTGCAGTTTCTATAACTAGCCCTCAATGCAAAAATGAACTGGTTCCAGAATATGAATCAGGAACACCATTAGACACATTGTCTGGTTCAGCTGACAACTATTTAGTAGTAAAAACGTTCATCCTAGAGCAAGGTTCTTATCTGGCATGGCATAGTAAAAAATAATAGCTCTGCTTGAGATAATTAATTACTGGGGGAGGGGTGATTTTGTTTTGTTTTCTCCCTCAGTACCAAAATTGGAAATTTGAAACTCTTGAGTATCAACTAGATAAAACCCTGGCCTAAGCCTTCAGATGATTTTCATTTAGTTTTCATATGAAAGATTTCTAACTCTTAATTTTTGATAGTAGTGATTATTGATAAACTCAAAGCTTTGTCTGTTAGTTCAATAACTAATTCTGCTGTAGGACCCAAAAAGCACCTATTAATCTGGATACAAATTTAACTCACTGCTGCTAAAAAAATCTCTCTAGATGTATCCCGGAGGACAGATTGTTAGCAGAATCCTCCTTTGGAAAGGTCAACACATTGCATGCACACAATTGCATGCTTTCTGACCACTAAGTAAAAGTCTTTGCCAAAGACAGTACCACTCAATAGATTTTTGCATTCGTATACTTATTGGTAAGAGTGGAAGGAGAGGAGTGAGATATACAAAGAAAACATAAGTGGAAATATAGAACCATGGTAGCAATTGGGACAACCTCTTATCACACAGAGAAGAATAGAATGTCTCCAGGGACCACAAGGAAGAATCATGGTGCATTTTGTTCTAAATTAAAGAAAACTGATGTCGGATAGTGTAAGATATGACAAAATAATAATTTATAAATTATCAGTGGCTCATGAGGGAGCGGGGAGCAGGAAGGGAGTGGGGAAATGAGGAGCTGATGCCAAGGGCTTAAGTGGAGAGCAAATATTTTTAGATGATGAGGGCAAAGAATGTACAAATGTGCTTTACCCAATGGATGGATGTGTGGATTGTGATGAGTTGTATGAGCCCCCAATAAAATGATTTAAAAAAAACAAAGAAGAAACATGCCTAGTCATAGTATGGCCAGATTGAGCAAGTGAAAATACAGGACATCTAGTTAAATTTGAAATTCAGATCAAATCCCCCAAAAATTTAATGTCATTATATTGCATGAGGTACATGCAAACTTAAAAGAAAGTGGAAGCAAAATGCTTAGCATAAATGTGTCCAAAATGTTGCTGCCTGTACTTAAAAAAGGAGAGAGAAATGTTGACATGAGTATGTACCAAATGCTGCATGGTGCATACTTATACATTGACAAGAAAGCAAAACAAAACTATTTTTTGTTTATCTGAAATTTAAGTTTAACTGGGTGTCCTGTGTTTTATCGCACAACTATAGTATCCAAGGAATGCATGTGGCCAATATTGTTAGCATTTGGCATCTGTAACAAGATCTGCAGTGCCTCATCAGGAGGATGTGCCAGAGCTATTGTCCCAGTAATCTTACATCCAGATTTTAAACACTAACAGCCGGACCCATTGCCATCAAGCCAATTCTGACTCAGATGATCGTGTAGGATGGTAGAATACTCCATAGGGCTTTTAAGTGAATTATCTTTAGGGTAACAGACTGCCACATCTTTTCCCCACAGAGCAGCTGGTGGAATTGAACTACCAGCCTTTTAATTAGCAGTTAACCACTCTGCCACGAGGGCTCTCAAATAAAGCCCTCAATAATATTACTGATCTCTGGGACAAGAGGTACTGGTTTGATGGCCTACTCATCACTGTAATGAAGGAGAAAGGGAGTGGTTGTTATTTTTGGTAGGTAACACTCAAGTGCATTGTAACCCAGTGCATGATAGAACAAAGAACTGCCCACTGCAGCGCCATCCTCACATTTGTTCTGTTGGAGCCCAGTGTTGCAGCTCTTGTCTAAATCCATCTTGTTGAGGGTCCTCCTGTCTTTTGTACCAAGCATGATGTGTTAGTCTGGGTACTTTAGAGAAACAAATCCACAGAAACTCATGTATAAGAGAGAATTTTATATTAAGGGTAAGTGCACATCAAGAAAACATCCCTACCCAGTGCTGCCCAAGCCCACAAGTCCAACATTAACCCATATGTCCAACACCAATCCACAAAGTCCTCCTCCATCTCACAAAACAGATGCAATGATGCCAACTGCAGGAGGAAAGCTGAGTCTGTGAATGTGTAAACATCTCCGCACTGACAGGGATCTTCACACGGGTGCACCAGCACCCAGAGCTGCATTGGGATAGGTCCATGTGGCTTCTCCTCAGGGATGTCTTGCAGGAAGTGAGCCTTGCCAGCTAAAGCAGGGAACTGGCTAAGGCAGCTGCACCCTGGTCTGACCATCAGAAAGCAAGAGACCTGAGAACTCAAAAGGCGAGGCTCACTGAGCCATTTATCCCTCGGCGCTTCAATTAACCCCACGTGTGTTTATCGGTCAGGTTGGCACAATAAACTAACTGCCTCACATGATGTCCTTTTCCAGGGACTGGTCTCTCCTGACAACATGTCCAAAGTATGTGAGTCACTGAGTCTTACCATCCTGACATCTGAGGAGCATTCTGGCTGGTACTTCTTCCAAGACAAATTTATTTTGTTGGTAGTTTGTGGGCATTTATTTCTTTGTCGATACCATAATTCTTATGCATCACTTCTTCTGCTGTCTTTCTTATTCAGCGATCACCTTTCACAAGCACACGAGGCCATTGAAAATGCTATGGCTTGGGTCAGGGGCACCTTAGTCCTCAGAGTGACATCTTTGCTTTTTAACAGTTTAAAGGAAGATTAGAAAGCATGTAGCATGCTAGGTCCTAGTGATCTTTGTTCGTTCCTATTACCACACAGAGTTATTCCCTCTGTATATAAAGTCGGACCTGTCTGCATTTGTGCAGCAAAATGGCGAAGCTTCAATTCAACTCTAGGTGGTTTGGCACCAAAGCCCCTGTTTACACCACACCACACCACAATGCAGTCTTTCTCTTTTGGGGGCAACAGGCCTATGGTGGAGTTGTTACAATCAGAGCATAAGCGTGGTGTGGAAAACTGGTACTCTGAATAGTCAGCACATGAGGTATTTCTAAAACTCCAGTATAAATCTACTAGCTTTTATGACAGGAGAAATCGGCTAGGAAAATCCAGTGACATACAAGATACAAAGCAGGCAAAGATTTTCAAATCATCCTTCGTGCCTCCCTGTCCTCTTCGCACATGCATCCCACCAGCTGGGCCTCGTGTTTCTGTCACCAAAACAGATCTCACATCAATCCCCTTGTTCATCTGCCCTGCCACCGCCCAAGCTCTGTGGCCAATCTTAGCTCTCTGGAGTCCTGCAAGGGCCTCCTGGTTAGTTTCTCCATTTCTACTTTTGCTTCCAGTGACTCACACCAAAGTCAATGTGACCTTGTAAAAACACAAATCTCGACTTTCAAAAATCTAGATTTTCAAAACATCTCATGACACGTATAAAAAACAAAATCTCAAATGATCATCCTGCATGGCCTCCATGCTCCGGCTCCTCTGCCCCATGTCCACAGTGCTGTAGTTGCGGTGGTCTTTTCCTGTTACTTTACACACGTGCTTTCCTCTCTGACAAACTCATTGGTACTTCTTTCATGGTTGGGTTCTTCCTATCTTTTAGGTCTCACTGGGAGCTAAGCATGCGTCTAATTTAGTAATGCCTTTTACCATTCTCTGCTCATCATACTTAGTTATCAAATGATGTAGTTAGGTATTGATTTATATAGTTATTGACTGTTTTTCTTACAAGACAATGAACTCCTGGGAACAAGGATTGTGTCTGTTTCCCACAGCCGTTTTCACAGTAAGGTACCTAGGAGCTCAGTGATACCTCCCCCGTTAGTAAATATCAATTGAGGAGTAACCCCTACACCCCCGGAGCACTTCTTTCTTATGACTTCCTAATCAGTGAGATAGATCTTATTCCTATTTAGGACTTACACATCGAACACAATCCACTGCTGTGAAGTCTGTGTGACTTCACAGCGGCCCTGCAGGACCGAATAGAACTTCCCCATCGTGTTTCCAAGGCTGAGCTCTTATGGAAGCCATCTGCCACTACGTTCTCCCGCAGAGCGGCTTGTGGGCTCTAACCACCAACCTTTGGATTAGCAGTCAAGCGTTTAATCACTGAACCACCAGAACTCCTTAAAAATAGAGTATAACAAATAAGTTTTTAGTTATCACAAGTTTGAATGTGAGTAAGCTTTAAGATTTTTCTCTTCTAACAATAAATAAGACACTTCTAAATGTTGCATATTATCCGCTATGCATATTGGTACCGTCCTGAACTGACTAGCAACATCACAAGAACATCTCACACATCCATATCACGCATATGCACCTGCAGTGCCTCATGAAGTATGTGCTGCGGAGCCCACCAGCAGCTGGCTGGGTGTTCCTGGCCCACTGCAGCTTTAGCGTGCAGATCTTAACGGCCTGTTCTCTTGCCACTGTCAGTCAGAGACGGGAGCCAGCTGCAAAGCTTACAAACCAAGCTTTGGGCTGTTTGTCCAGCTGTGACATCTGACACGGTGGTTAACTTGTTCGTTCTTGTGCGTCTTCTCAGACAAATGTTCTGTACCCTCGAAGCAGGGCAGAGCTGCTCCGCTGCCAGCATGACTCATAT